CAATTTTATTCTAAGAAAAAATTAATCCTAAGGGTACATATAAGAGATATTTTTTGAAAGTTAAATAGAAACTTATTACTAATAGATGAGAATAGCTAAACAAATTGGGCTGGGCGATAACCAATATTGTATTATTACTTTTGAGTTGCTATGATTTATAGTTAAAGGCGAACGGTGTGTGTAATCTTAAAATAATTCTTATTTTTGGCAATAAAAATAGTATTGAGAATTTTTTTTGTCATTTTTAGGTACATGTTTTTTTTTTAATCTGTCAATTATTAAGTATTTTTTTATGTTTATTCCTTATAAGGGTATTAACTTAAATTTATCAATTGACAAGCTACATAGTTAACTCGCTATTATACAAAAATCAATTCAATCCGTTCATTTTTCACCGTTTTACGAACTTTTTTATTTTTTAAGTTCACGCGCATGGTTTTAATATTGGCACATTTCTGCGCATATATTTACTGTGACCCTTAATTTGTAAAATATGAATTTTTATGACGAATTAATTTTATATTCAATTCATTATTAATATATGTTATTGTTGTCATATATGAATTGATTGTGTTAGTTTATTAAGTATACTTTCATTAAGAAACATTTTGTCGATTTCTTTTAAATATGTTTATAATACAAACTTGTTGATATATTTAATCATGTTTATTGTTATGTATATCTTTTGTCTGAACTTTTGCTTTTTAATTAGCTTACTGTTCAATTGTACTTTTTTCGCTTTGAACTTATTTTTGACCACGTGGAGTTTATATTAGGATACTATTTTGTATTTACGCATTGCACTATATTTTGTATAATGTATCAAGGAATGTTATATATGACATAAAACATAAATTTCAGGACGGTTATAAGTAGAGCTCGGGTGTTTATGACCAAAATTTAATGAATATATGCATTTAAAAATGTAAAAATATGCAATTATATGCCTTAAAATACAGGGTGGCCCACCACTCACTGACAACTTAAATAACTTTTGATCCAGTTAATATTTTTAGCTGATTTTTTTTTTAAATAATAGTTATACGTTAGGTTTATAGCTATATCTCAATAATTAATTTTTTTACATTTTATTAAAAATATTAATTATTTTTAAATTTTAAATAAAATGTAAAAAAAAAATCTAAGATAGCTATTTTGTAGAGTAGAATTTAAGAAAAATTTTAGTAAAAAAATATCTTAAAAATATTCAATAGTAAATATTCTGTAGCGTTTTGAAGTTTNAACAATTTTTCAATAACTATATGCAAAAAAAAAAAGAAGTTAATATTAATTCGAAAAAATTTTTTATACCTTTTTAATGTAAATTAATTAAAATTATTTTATTACATAACACATATTTAATATGAAAAAAAAAATTATAAATTATACCCAAACTCTTTTACAAAACCACTGAGCGAATTTTTCGGCATTTTGATAATATACATTTTAAAAAAACGTGAATTTTTAGACAAATTGTTTAAACACAGCGTAACACCTACATACTAGTGATGGGTCGTTCACGAACGAAGGGGTNCCTATATACGAAAAGTACCAAATAAACTAAACTTGTAACACTACACAATGAATATTAAAATGTCAACAAAATATTTTATATATATCAAATAAAACGCGCCCTATCTCATAAATTTACGATATATAGGTAAAACCCATGGCACACGTCGTATTTACTACACGTATGAATATATATATACAGTAAAACGCCGATTAACTGGACTAATTGGGACCAGCGGTATTCCGGATAACCAATCATGTGCTTACATATTTTATAGAGGAAAACACGTACAGATGATGTAAAATGAAGAAATTTAAAAACAATAAAGAAATTTAATAAAAATAACCTAATTCTTAGAAAAATGAAGCTCGCACGTGTCTAGACGGCGTTCCGGATAATTGGCGTCCGGTTAATCGGCGTTTTACTGTATATATATATAATAATATCGATTATCGAATTTATAAATATCTAAATCCCAAAAGTAATTTTACTTTTCTACATAGTATTCTACGGATCTTCATCAAAAACAAATTTTTAATATTTTTAATGCAAATTATAAAATATATGCTACTNCTTTTAATACAAATTATAAAATATATGCTACTATTTCTAGAAATAATCAATATATGCATTTATATGCTCAAAAACGTCAAACATGCAAAAATATGCAAAATAAGTTTACGTAATTGTAATCTAGACTTCATGAATCAAATTTATATCATACTTGGGTTTAATTCATATTGCGCGAAAAAAATATGCAAAGTCATAACACATCCGAGCTCTAGTTATAAGTATATAAATTAGTACATTCATTATCAGAACAGTACAGTATTAATAATCTTATTTATTTCATATATGATGTACAAGTTTATGAGTTTATCGTAAAAATTGGGATCCATCTATGACAATTGTACTGTTCAACGTCAAATCACAGCAATCAATATTTTTATAAAATTACATTTTTTTCATAGTCCAGATATAGTAACTTCCCGAATTTTTTTTTTAATTATTCTATAATATAAACACAATTATTGTAATTAGGATATTAATAATTTTCGTGTTTACCAGGGATGTATTTAAGGGAGATACGGGTCCCTTTTGAACCAGCGTTATCAATATTTTTTTATGCAACTTCTAAGAAATAAGGACCTAATGATTTTTTTTTTGATAATCACTTTGATTTTTAGCAAAATAAAATTCTATAATATGTTTAACAAAGTAAAAATAATAATAATAACTCTCCTAAAATAAATTTCTGAATACGCCCAAGGGGAATACCTTATTAACAAACGTCAACCTTATACCCAATACATTTTACTATATTCTCTTTTCTTTGAATTTTCTTGATTTTAATAATTCAATTTTTAATATATTTTTGTTACACTGATTCTGATGAAATATTTTTCTTGCAAAACACTTTTTGTGACCCAAAGAAGCTTACGCTCCGAAGACGCGTGAGGTTTGTAGCCTACTATCATTGAATATTGAAAAAATGGTTGGTAAAAAAATATACGTTCAATGAAATACAATAAATATTCATGTATGAAATTCGTACACAGTCATTATTATATGTATATTTTAAAAAAATAGACTATTCAATTATTAATTTTTTTTAAGTCAGTACATTAGAATTCTCTGTTTAAAGATTGAATTTTATTTTATAACACGGAAAAAAATTATGGTTGGGTTAACCATTTAAATGGTTGCGGTACCCCAAAATTTAGTGTTAGTATAGCGACAGCTATGTACTATGGTTAAAATTACCATGCTTACGTGGTTAGTATCTTATGGTTGTTATAACTATATGACATAGTTGTATGAACTTTTGTTGAATAGGTTGTAGTAACATAATGAAATGGTTGTACAAGCTATACATTATAGTTAACTTAACTTTTTAAGTTAACTATACTTTTTTTTTGCATAGTTAATTACTTGAGCAAAGCTAACAAAACCATCTGCAATTTCTTCAACAGAAGGTCTAAAGTTTTGGATTTTTTTCCTTTTTAAATTGTAATTATATAATTATAATTAATTGATTTGTTGTCAAAATGAAATTATATCATCTTTGATTGGTTTAAGAATAAATAATTTTCCATACTTTTAATATTAGTTAATTGATATTATTTTGAACAAAATATAATTTCACCAGTTGTATGCTTACAATAAAAATTCACACCATGTATACAACCGTTAAAAATTATTACTAAAAATGTGACTATAACAAAAAAATAAAAATATTTGTACTCGTATATTAGCTGTACAGTACGTAACAAGCAAATCTCACAAGACTTGAATAAATAACCAGCAGTTGTAAGATACATAACTGTATTCCATGTAATAGGTGAATCATAGTAGAGGTATTACGTCAATGCCAAGAGCTTTTTTTCAAATGAGTACGTTAACTGTGCTGATGGACGATTAGCATGAAAAAATGTTTTAGATTGCCTTTATAAATATTGTTTGACTAATAGTAACTAGATGGAAATGATTATTGAATTAAATTTAAATAATTAAGCATATGAATTAACACGATATTTATCCATTATTTAAATTACCTTTATTTCATATATAATTAATTCTTTGGAGCACGTGGTAAATAATTACTTAGTGTTTAATCGTTAATGTTTCGAAAGTAAACATTGATATTGTTTGAATAATTGTATGCATAATTATGATTTTAAATAGGATAATCAAATCATATTATTACAAAGAAATCAAATATATGACGCTTCGTACTTGATAATAACTTGTTATCTATTGCATTTTAATTACTTAAAGTAATGTCAAATTTTACATTTCCAACAAATATCTCTAAAACTAGCTTAACTTGTATTCACTTTGACTCACTACTAAAAGTTAAAGTTGTCTTGGAACGGTAGTATTTCAAGTCAAGTAATTCAAGGTCAAAAATTGACCAAAGGCGTTTCTTTTCCGTAAAAATTATAATTAAATTTAATACAATAACATAATTTTTTTTGGACTGTAAATAACGGAATACTAAACTCAATGGTAGTAAAAACCATAGTATTAGTTTATATTAGATATCAGTTTGAACATTTTAAGTAATATTTTAGTCTTATTTATAGTCATTACTGAGAATTTCGTGCTAATGTAAAACCGTTACAAAATTGAATTTTTTTAGATTTTAGAAATTAACTATTTCCATAGCTATTTTTGCTAAGAATACTTATCATGAAAATATTTTAAAATTAACATTTTATATTAGCAATATGAAGACTCTTAAATACATTCTTGTGAATTTTATTGCATTTTATATATTCCATAGGGTTAGAACAAAAGTAGTGCAAGTTAATTTTTGAGTAAAATGATTTTGATCTTAAAATAAATATTTAAAAGTTAGTACATTTTTGACATCATACATAATGGATAATAAACACTATTGAGAAATTATCATAGACAAATACGAGAGTATAGTACTAACTATCATAACCTCCTCAATACAGTTCATAATGGTTAATTAGTTTATAAGGGACAGCGCGTACGCAGTCCCAGCTACCAAAAATTACGTGTCCGAGATATCCTCATTAGGGATACTCGCAGGGGTCAACCGTCCCGATGTGCAATGGCACAGTCTCGTCCTGGAGGAACCGCCTCGTTGATCACGGTTGACCTCGACACCAAGTAAGTATGCCGAATTGAAGCAGAGATTCTATTTTGTAATTATTTTGAAAAACCCAACCGTTGCAGTGTATAAAGTTTTGCGTATTTTAAAAATAAACAATACATGGACTTTTGGCTATCAATACTCGTATCAATATAGTATAATATACAATAAAAAATAATACTGATGTTTCAATTCAATCGAAACTTTTTCGTGTCAGGTGAATTTTACAATTCTTCGCTAAAAAAATATTATGTCGTATCCTTGATGCAATGCAATGCGATCTAGCGGTAGTTTACTAAAACCAGATTAAACAATATTTTATTTAAGTTTTCTTTTATGGCACTTTTTATGAAATTTCTGATTAAAATTATAATATAAGAAATTGATGAATTCATAACAACCAATATTAAATTTAAAAAAACTAGTATAATTGGTGATAATTTTAATTTTGGTAGAACAGTTATAATAATTTAAAAAATTGAAATTGGTCGATGGTCTCTTTAAATGCTTATTAAATAATTTACCATAAATACTTAATATTATATTAATTTAAATATATTTTTCAATCACATATCGTATTTTTTTAATACAATTTAATAAAATTAGTTAACTGTTTATATAAATGTAGTCGATAAATTGTCATAAATTTATAAATTTTAGCTTCGACGTGATGCTGAGAATGTATTAATTTTACTATGTTTTTTTGTGTCTTTTACCACTTATTCTCAGGTTTCATTGGACTGATTTTTATGAACAATACGTCAAAACAGCGCAAATTGTATCTAATGGAAGGCATTACCCACAAAAAATATAAATAATTTTCCCCTATAAATTAAAAAGTTACTTACAATTTTAATGTTTCCAAAGTATTGATTGTCGAATTAGGTTTTATATGATATTAGATTTCAAATACAAATTTAAATAACTTTACTTTGTTATTAATTAATTTTGTGACACCATTTGTATGATCAATTACCAGTTAAATTTTTTAGTAATATTTTAATGTATAAATCATTTTTAAAATATTATTTTGAGTTTCACCTGATTTTAATAATGGATTTTTTCAAATATAATCAATTTTTATAATACGTTCAATTAAGTAGATTTTTAGTTTAAATTCAAAACTAAGAAAGGTATTAATCAATTAATGATAAGTTTTTTCTATGTTGGTCTATAAAAATTTTCATCTTTCACTAAATCGATTTTAATGATTAATACGTCAAAAGAATCGAATTTAAATTTAGTTGAACTTAAATATTAACTAAATATTTAAAAAAAACCTTAATATTACAAATTTAGACAAATATCTTAAAATTATGTTACTGTAAATAGTATTATATTTTCGAAAAATATTTTCTGCATTTTAAAACTGTCATAACTTCTTTTTAAAAACACTGATCCTAATGAAATTTTAACACAAAAACCATATACAAGGTGGTTATGAAAAATACAAGTATGTTAAAAATATTTTTTCACAATTTTTGTATATGTTCGAAAGATTGCTTTCATCAAGATTGATCCGAAAGATCAAACTTATATTAAATTAAAACTTTTGAAATGTACTATAAAATAAAAAAAAAAATTTACTAGGTATTGTTTCACTATAAGTAATTTGCCGTCTAAGTAAAAAATTCATCATTTAAGTTAGTTAAAGTAATAATAGAAATATAGAATTTGATTTTATAGTGAATTAAGTAGAAAAAACATATCATTAATATAAAATTTTTGTACACTCAAAGAAAAACCTCAATCAAAATTGAAAGAGAAATTTTATCAAGGGTTTATGATAATGTTTTATTAATACGAACAAAATAACTATTCTTATAAATAATTATTGTTCAAGACAAGAAAAAAAAATATCATAATGATAAATATATCATTGATTCAATAGTAATGATATATTTATCAAATTGAACAATGAATTTATTATATAGATCGAGGTTTTTCTCTGGGTGTAATAATCATAGAGCAAAATATACTTTGCTAAACCAAATTTTTGTGCTGATTGCAAATTTGCAATTAGATTTTTTTTCATCGCCACTTTTTTTGAGATCATTAATAATTAATAAAAACGAGTATTTACATATAAAAATTTGTTTTGACTTTTAATACGTTAAAAAATAATCAATGTAATTTAATTTATATATTTTGGTCCTTTTAAGTTAATATTTTATTAGTTAAACTTTATAACCGTTAAATGTACAATTTTAATATTGATGTCATTAAATATGAAATTCTATAAGGAAAAATCGTATTTTTAGATTGATATGCGGTCAGGAACTTATATAATTACTATTAAAAATAAATTTATGAAAAAAGTTCAACATTTCATTGAAATAATTATTAATTATTTTTTGCAATTTCATTGTAAATAAATCGTTGCAATAAAATTTATAATAATCATTTCTATGTAACTCTTGATGTTTAAATAGATGCTCCAGTTAAAATAGTCGGAACTATATTCTGTATAGTTATATGCTATAGTGTTCTATAATATACTGCTATTCAGATATATTCCTTGCATAGTTTCACCTATGAATTTGTTCGCTTTAAGGAAATAAGAGTTTATTTTGCTTTGTGATTATGCACCAATGTCTTAAAACTAAACACTATCTACAAATTTGTATTGAAGCGTCTCTTATAAGAGTAATTTTAATCACATTTATATATCATCTATAAATGTCACAACTATGTCACGTCCACACTGAGCTGCGACGCCATTGAGCTATTTTTTACCATCACTCAACGAAAATAGTATTTGTATAAGAAGACCAAGGTCATATTCCTCAGGATGAAAAAAAAATTGATTAATTTTGAGTTCATCCTACCAGGTAAAAAAAAATCTTGAAAATCCCTTGTGATATATTGAAAAGACGTTTTCCATTATTAAAAAAAAAAAAAAAA